TATCCATTTTTCTTGGGATTTTAATTTTTAATGGATAAGTATAAATAAAAATCTACTTATACATTTTTAATGTTTTAAAATTATTACATGAACATCTTAAGCGTTCTGCATTTTTGAGGAATCTTGTATCAATCAGTTTTTAATCCTATAGTAATTATCGCTAATCGTATCGCAATAGGTAGGTAGGTAGGTAGGTACCTACTGAAACTGTCTTCAACGTTTCTCCAAAAACTGTAATACCCAAGCTGTTTTGTTTACATTTTTATCACTTTTTTTTTTTAAAGTAATGGATATTTTCTTTTTTTGACCACCCAAAGTTAAAAGTACCCACTAGATCCAAATTTTAGAAGACCAAAATATTGGAAATTGGTAATTACACTCAACACGCTTGTCAAAACAAAATTATTAAATCAAAGAATATTTATTTGCTTGTATTTAAAATCATTGTATGCATTGACATCAAGAGGACGTTATACTTGCATGTGTTCTAACCGTCTTACAAGTGCATAACATACCAAATTTTAAGCTCAGCAGATCACGTTTAGCTCAGTTAGCTTAAAAATTAGAAAGAATTGACCTCTTATTAAAATTTAAGTTGAGATTATTACGGAGAGCTTCTCATGGACTTTTAATATATTTTAATTTTAAAGAGGTTATGAGTATTTAAACTCATGACAAGATTTATATCATTCAAAATTTACAAATAATATTAAAGTCAAAATTTTTTAAATTTTTAATTTTCATGGTTAAGGGTTGAAAATTTAAAACAAGGTTTCACCCATGTAGGTTATTTTGTAACCATAAAAACCTAAAAATAGAGTAGCACTTTTTTTTTGTCGTTCTATGTTCAAATGTAGACGAAATTACAATTTAAATAACCAAAAATAATGATTTAAGTTATTTTGTTGTAATTAAACAATATTATTTGTTTGTACATCAAACATTTAGAGCAATTTATTATATTCCATACAGATAATGACTTGTATGAATGCATTTTTTTGGCAAAAATGAATAAAATCTACTAAAGTAGATAATAGTACTATAATGCATAGTAGTAAAACAAATTACTTTAATCAAAATAATATCATCAAATATACTTAATGACTAAAGACTATGACAGAACTGTTTTTCGTGTACAATGATTTTATATCAATTAATTCAAATTTAACACCATCCATTACAGTGACAAACTTGTAGTCTACTCTACAGCAGAGCGACAACCTCTACAGCAAAGCGACTCACTTGCTTTTTTCAAGTTAAGTATCAGAAAATAAGTTCAGAGATAGTGTTCGATTACAAAAATACATTGATGGTGTTTTTATAGTATTATCAACCCAATGGAGTTTGTTTTCTTTTTGGAAAATTCCTTTCTGTTACATCTCTTGTTCTAAATGTTCATCAGTGATAGAGCAATAAGTAAAAGAGAAACTGCCCACTTTTGAATTAGAATATAATAATAATGAGAATACTTTAATAAATAACTTACGTTCGATAAATTCAAGATACTACCTATATAGTTTACATTATAGTGTGTACTAAATTTATTAAATTAAGGAAATTGGTCTTTCTTAAAAAAAAAAAAAAATCAATTATATAATTCCTTATTTCAATTTCATGCAAAAACAATATTTTTATTAATTACTGAGTGAATATTTAGTTTTATATTTGATTATTATTTTTTTTGGAAATGATTTGTTTAGGAAATATACAGATTGTATTATATGAGGCAAGGGGTGGAGGGAATTATAAAAAATATTCTGGTCTTTGAATCTTAGACAATAATATGCAATTTCCAAAAATGTCTGGACTGAAAAAGAGTTAATCTTAATTCTTAATACCTTAGAATGATTTTTATGGGTGTGTAATTTTAAAGTTAAAATTTGAATAAATTAAAATAATTTAATTAGTTCAATTTTCAGCACTAAGTCCATAGTGTGCAAATATAATCAAAAATACAGTCACAAGTATATTCATATAAGATGAATATAATTCATTTACTTTCTTTCAATTAAGTATGAAATCGTACTCTTGAAATATGATTTAAAATTTTTAGTAACATAATATAAACTATGAAAGATCATTTAACTGTCCAAATTAAAATAATGATTAGCTAGTGATTACTAATATAGTTACATTAATATAAGCACGTGCTTAAAAAGACAATTTTTTAATACCTCGGTAAATTTTTTAGGAGCAACAAATATCTAATACTTAGATTACTAATATAATTAGTTAGGTATATAACATAATATTGTAATAATTGCAGTAATCAATGAATATTTAAAAATAAATTATTAGTAAAAACCTAAGTCATAATATTCCATAATGAATTGTTTTTTGATTAATAAGAATTAATAAAACAAAGTTTTAAAAGAATGTTTGTAAAAAGATGGCAGTTCATTCAATGCTTACAGCGGCACAGTAGTTAGATCCAGCACTGCAGATGGCATAGTTTACTTATCATACTACAATTATAATTAGTAGAAATACGATAAACCTTTACATTTATTTTACAAATACATTTACAAAAAGGAAAATAAATTGACAGGGGCAACGGCGGACGGAACAACTTTATAACATAACAACTATATTAGTGTTTGGTTCAAATAAGACTGATTTCTATGTTGAATTACTAATTAACTTCAACAATATAATTGCCAACTATAATTATTTATGTTTTTAAAAATCAATGAGTTGCATAGTGTGTGTGTTGTATTCAATAATCCTATCAGAATATTACAGTTAAACTTACATCATTTATAGCCAGATACTAGTTCTAAAAACTATTTAATCAAATTGTGTACCAATGAAATAGTTTGTGTTATTCTTAATAATTTGGCTATTTTTTAGTTATAAGATATAAATAGCATAATTTTTTAATTAAACCATCAACATTATAAATTATAAATAATAATACATTACTAATGATTATTATTAAAATATAATCAAAATTTTTTTTTAATATTAAAAATTGTTGTTCACAGGTTTCAAATGTATTGCAGACTTTCCTAATTTTCGACCATCTGAAATACATAAGTTTATGTTATTTATAATATAATGTTAAAAAAACAGTAAATGATGAAACATACAGCTCTTCAAAATAATAGAATAACATCCTTGAGTGATTGATTTTGTCGATAGTTTTCTTGAAAGACCTAGTAAAATACCTCTGAATTCCAAGTCAAGTTATATTTAATAAAATTAATGAATTACAAAAAACACACATTTTGCACTGGTAATTTTTTAATTTAGTTTACAAAAGATAAATTGACATACCAAAAAATTTGAGTGTCATGTGTATTTATAAAAATAAAATATTGATTTAGTGAAAGATAAGTTAATGTTTTATTTTAATTCCAGAGCTTGAAATGGACAAATATGCTTCATATAAATATAACTAATTCATATTAATTTAAAATTTTAATGTTTTTAATTTAATTTTAAGACCTGCTATTCTGGTTCATATTGAGTACTGTTTTATTCTAGAAAATTTGTTTCTAATACTACAAAAAGTTTTTAAAATGTTTAATCTATCATTCAATTTAAACTTTTATCAAAGGATACAAATTCATCACATCATGAGGATTGCGTATATCTAGTTTATTAGCTGCCCCACTTGTAATTATAAGGTTCTGAAACAGGCGAAAAGTTTAATTACATGACTTTAAATTTAAATATTTAAATTTACTTTTGATTTTCCTTTAATATGAAGTAGGTGAGCTAAAGTAAAAGTATCTTGACGTGTATTAGAATTAAATAACATTGGACAATAGGATATTTCAAAATAAATGTTTTTTTCAACTGCGATTGTGTAGTCCTTTGGAGTTATAGATGTTTTCATATTACATGTTATTATATCAACTGACGGTGAAGTGACTATGTCCTAAAAAATTAAAATAAGTAATTATTAAAAATATATTATAACAAAATTTTAAATAATAAACAAATGTGATAAGTATAAATGCAAAAACTGAAATAAATGTTCCTTCAATCATTTTATCTAGAATAATTAAGAAAAAAAATACAAGGTTATTGAACAATTCAGTTGACGTTACACAGACATTTGTTGTCTGTGTCTTATAAGTGTGTAACATAGGAAGTTTACCCTCACCAAAAAATGTTTAGCTTCGTTAGCTTACAAAATTCAATTGAATCAACTTATTATGAAACTTGATGGTAAGTACATAATCTGTATTTGTAAGTGGTGTTTTTACAATACTTCAAGTCTTAAGTGAGACATGAGCATTTTTAATTTGGACTATATTATACACTGAAAACTTGCTAAAAAATTGAACTATCATAAAAAACCCATGTATAAATACAGATTATGTTCTTCACATCAAGTTTCATAATAGGTTGATTCACTCTAATTTTTTGACTAATAAAGCTAAATGTGATCTGAGCTTAAATTTGTTATGTAACACACATTTATAAGACAATAAATGCCTATGTGGCGTCCTCTTGAGTGAAAAAAAAACTATCATAACAACTTGGTTGTAACTTTAGCTTAGGAGCTTAAGCACCCTATTATATTATACGTTATACATTATTTATTTAATTATTTATACAATAAATAGTACATACCCTTCAGTGGCGGTCAAAAGTGGGGTTATGAGAGGGATAGATTCCTCATAACCTTAATTTCAAAGTTTAAAAGCTGATAATTATGAATTATATTTACTATAATCAAATAGTGCATGTTGAAAAATTAGAAATAATAATTTCTCCCTGACAAAAACATTTGACCGCCACTAATATGCCTCAAAATTAAGAAATTAAAAGATTTTTTTATAAAATTGTTAATACTGTTAACAAATATTGTCTATTATGTTATCCATTATGATCTACTGTAATTTATTATATTTATGAAAGTATTAAAATTATAACTATATATTTTTTGTGATAAATATAGCCCCCTTCTCATTTCAAATTTATAGATATGTGCCTAAATATTATATAATATGATTGAATTGATGTATTATATTTATCTAAAAACTAAGTGCTAATTAATAAATATTAACTTCAAAAGGCAATATATTAATTACTAACATAGTTCTTTATTAATTATGACTTAATATTCATACCTGAAAAACTTTATCATTCAATGGTTCTACTGCTAGAATGTTAAACAATTTGAAATTTTGAGAACTCAACTACAATCCAAAAATGATACAATTAGTTAATTTTAGTAGTTAATATGTGTTTAAGCATATTCATTATTTTATTTTGTTACTCACAATTTTTTGCAGTTGTCCAATATTTGATATTTGAATGGTTAACCGATTCAGAATAGTTAATTTGGAGTCATTACTCTAAATAAAAATGTAATGCATTCATTTAACTTTTAAAACAAACTATAAATTATAAACTGTAAGCTTTTGTATTATTATATAAGCAACCAAATAAGGTAAGTTGAGGTTTTTGTAACATAAATCATTAAATGAAGATTTTACTTTAATTTGAATGTGTCAAATGTAATTAATTAAATATTTTTAAGTCATGTCAATAATTCATTAAATTAAGAGAAAAAGTTGTTTGTTAAAATACAGAAGTTCAGTAGAGTGAACTGAAGTGATTGATATGATATTTAATTTGAAATTTTAACCTAACGATATACAATAATACCATTAAAGAGCCATAACTAGTATCTATATTGAATTTACAATGCTATTATAATACTTTACTATTATTGCAACTGCTTATTTGTATTATTGTGATTTTTTGATTTATTTAGGAACTACTCAGTATAAATGTAATTAGAGTAATGTTATAAGCCTGTAAACAAATATAGTTTAGTAAATAATGCCAATTAAGATAAAAATTATCAGCTCCGATTATTTATGCATGATTAATTGTATATAACACAATAAATCATTCATACGATTTTGTTAATCAATGTATACATGTTTTAACAGATGGAGGATAATCCATTAATTTCACCTGTCTAACTACAAATCCTGGCATTATCATTCAGTCTTTTAAGTACAGAAATGTTAATTAGGTTATTAATATTAGAATAATAATTGTATTTATTAAGTGTAGACAACAGATGGAAATATATGATATAATTAAGGAGAACAGTGCCAATCTTTAAAATTGTCCTCCGGAACATATAAATTATTATCATTATTATTGTTTATTTTACCCGAATCAGCAATTTTACATATTACAATGGGAAGTTATTAAAACAAATTATAAAAGAGAAAAAACATAATACTAAATACAGATACTATAAGTAAATAATGTGAAACTGGCTAAGTGGCCCTAGAATCAATTATTGTTATCAACATTTAAATTTTTTTATGATACTTTTCTACTAACCAACCACCAAATACATACCAATTATGGAGGGGGTTATATTATATAGGGCATTATATACTAACAAAAATGACTTCACAAAAACTCTCAGATTTAATAGAACTGTAAGATTTTGACCAATATTTTTTATCTAAGAGAAGACTTTTTAAAGCTAACTTTTATTTTATTTCAAATAATTGTACGAAAGTAAAAAAGCATAAAATTGTCTTATTTTTAAAGACACATTAATATATTACAAAGTTTAAGAATAAAATACTGAAAAATGGTGTTTAATGGTTTAGAATATTTCCCTCGAATATTTAAAAAAAATATATATATTAAATTTTGTTGATTCCACAGCATAAGATCATTACTCCAATAGACTGACGAGTGCATTTTAGAATTTTAGATGACAAAATTACATTAACACTGGGCACCTTAAAAGAAAGTTTATATAATTTATACCATCTTTAATATTCTACGTATAATAAATCACCAAACTCACGCTTATTAACTTGGGTGTAGGCACCCAGTCTTTTTCTTCAACAATTTCATCATTACATTCAGCAAATTTTCTTTTTTTTTTGTTTGAATTTCCATTGCCTAGTAATGAACAATCCACTGTTGTATTTACAGCGATCAAAGCATACCCATCTGTGAATAAATATTCCTAACATTTAAAATCAATCATATACTGCAACTAATAATAACATATTTCTTATTAGGAGACTATTAATGAAATATTCAATTATGATTCACCAATAGTTAATTAATATGTTTATATCCAAAAAATGTACAGGTAAAGATGGGTATTACAAGCTATGATAGTATTATGTTATAATACTGTGTGGTTAGAAGATATTGTTATTTATTGGAGGTAAATTTTTTATTATGTAGTATGTAAGCACACAAATAATATAGGTATTTTATTAGTCAAATATTATTTATATTAATATTTGTTTTATGTTATATGTTTATAACTGTTAACTGTTTATCATATCTTGACTCATAACATGCGTACATTACAGAATATAACAGTGAATTATTATTTTTTGTTTGTTAGTTATTAAACTAAATGTTAGGTATTGAAATATTTTTATGTTTTCAATTTTTCTAATGTTTTTGGATTTTCAATCAATTTTCAAGTGTAAATAAATAAAAACTGGTCTCACTTTAGACCATGGCAAAATATTTTTTTTAAATAGTTGGACGTGCCCACCAAAATTATGACATCTCGGTTTTAGAAAAAACTTATCAAAACCTTTGAAAATATTGGCTGAAAAATATTTAAAAATATTTTTTTTTAATTGTATTTGTTTAAAAGGGTGAAATTAGGTTTTTTTATTTTATTTTACTTGTTTTAAAAGTTGAAATAATGTTTTTATTTAAAAAAATTTTAAATGTTGTCTAGAGTCATCAAATATGCATTTGAACTCATTTTTAAACCATAATTAGTGGGTCTGAAATCATCCGGTTTATGGGATGACTTTGGATAACTTTCAACTTTTCAAAAAAGTTTTTTAATTTGGATTAATGTTGATTGAAACTATATTAGAGTTATAGACATGTTTAGAAAATATATTATTTTTTGGTGAATTTTAAGTTTAAAATATCAATCTGCTTTTTATAAAAAAAAGGTAAAAAAAGTCCGATTAAATGGTAAGTATTTTTTCTCACGTATAACAAATTGCAAGCAGAAATAAAATAATATGCAGTTATGATTTTATTTTTGATATAAATGGGTAAGCCAACTTTTAGCGAACTTATAGTTTCAATCTATTGTCTAAACCTTCCTTGAATTGTCAAGATCGGTCAAATTATATGTTTGATTTTTTAAACCTCAGGCATACACTTTGCCTTTATACACAATAGCTGTTACTCATGGCTCTCATTTTTATACTATTATGAACTGACCGGGATCCCAAAAAATAATATTATTGGTACATATAGAACAAAAACTGTGGATTATGCATATTCATATAGTTTAGATACTACCCGACTAATAACATCTATATTATCTGACCATCTATTAAAGGATATATTATAATACATCCATCTATCATTTCAATTTTGTTCTGTTGAAATATTCCAAATTGTTTTTTTGGCAAAATTAATTGAGTATTTTTTTGTATTTAAATAAATAATCCATACACTTAGCCTCATTTATAATTGCTGTTACTCAATTTTACATTTATATAGAACAGCTTTTTTATTAGGCTTAATTGTAAAGTATAATACAATACATAAAATTATATCCAATAATAATAATTATTTTATTAATATCTATAAAAAGATTAGTTACCTATGGCAACCATTGAATTAAACAAAAAAGAATATTTGATTTTACATATTCGATTATTGTTATATTTCATGTTATAAACTATGATATCTGTTTGAAAATAAATTAGATGACATATTAATAGTTTCATTCATGATTTAATTATTTAAAATAAACCTTACGTTAGTAACGTACTGTAGTAACATTTTAGTAACAGGTCAACTTAATTTTAAGGTACTTAAGGTACTTACACCTAACTACTGTGTTTAGAGGGAGAGGGCCTCCGGGTAAAAATTGACCTAAGGGCCAAATAATCAAGAAGCACCATTTTCTTTTAATTTAAATACTTAATATAAATTGGTTGTGGTGTTATAACATGCTGAGTGCCGCGATCGACCTTTTTTTTAGTATAGTCATATTTATGACTTAACAATTCACTCGGACATCAGAGCAATGATTCTGTTTTCATTTAAGATGATTCAGTGATGTGTCTACTTTAGAACATTGCATTTGGTTTGGATTTTAGTCTATTTTTGGTAAAACTAAATGTTATTTTTCCCTGGAAACTAAAAATTCTCGATGAAAATCAAACGGTAACAATATTTTAGCTATTAATACATGGTTATTGACTAATGACTTGTCAAACTTATATTATTTTCTTAATTTTGTCGAAAGAAAAATTAATTAATACTATTCACCATTATGAAAAGGTTCATGTACTATGGCCACCTTAGCCATTAGGTAATTCGAAAGTGTAGCAACTATAAAAGTTACTAGCACGTTTTTGTGAAAAGAATGTATATTTAATATGCTGAAATAAAATTTAAACAACAAAAGGGCCACTTGCATGATTCTGTGAACGGACCTGGTTCCGCTGACATTATATTATTGATGTATTGAAGACAAAAAATACGTTTCAAAAAAATAGGTCTAGTCAACAACACCGACATATATTATATTTATTAACACTATTATATTATATATATATATATATATCATGGCATCTGCTTGGGATGAATAAAAAAAAATTATCATACTCACGTTCAATGTATGCATGGATAATGTCATCGTTCACCTTTTCTACGCGCAGGTCACAGTATCCATTAGGCGTTTTCATTTTTTTTTCATGACATTAAAACGATGGTTGATCAATAACAAAAATAATAAATTACAAAGCGAGACTTTCTTTAATGCCAGTTTAGTTTGAAAAAGACGAAGTTAGCGATTATCACGTTATTACGTTATCAGTTTATCACTTATCTGTTATTGTCGTTCACAATTATTGATATCAAAAACCACATAGTACATTTGTACCACGATGACCATAGCATTATTGAGTATAATAGACGCAATATGATAGTGTTTCCAAACGTTCCAGCGTCTAGTCCGGCAGTCCACACAAATGATTAATCAATGAGAGTCCGTACGATTACATATTTTATATAAAAATAATTTATACTATATAGGTATTATTTTACTCATTCAATAGTTTAAATTTGATGTGTTTGTACCATTAATATTAAACTAATGGATGCGGCTTTGTATAAAAATCTGTTGGCCAACACGACTAGTATCATCGTTAGACGCAACGTCATTGCATCTCTATTCACTCTTGTTGACTTTTTTGATAGTTTCTTTATCACTCGGAAGCTTCTTTATAAGTGAAAACTGAGTCATCGTTTCTCTCCTTTATATTCACCAAAAAGCATATGTAATGAAAATAGGAATGTCGTATCCATATGTTTAATATTGATGGTTTGTAGTTGGTTCAATTAATACCAAAATACTATAATTATTGTTAATATGTTATGTTATAGGTAGTTATATAATATTTGTTTTGTATGCATATTGGTTTCCACCATCGCTACACTGCTGGGCGCACAACACGAAAACTTCATCAGGTAAGGTTTACAGATAATCTATTATCTATAAAAGTCAAAAAATGCAGAATCTACTATTATCTATAATAGTTCTTCAGATAACCGTGGTGACTATCATTTCATGATTTCACATCACAATTTGTATTTATTATAATATAATGCATCACATTAACATTTCACATTTTTACTAGGTAATAAGTATTCATGTTGATGAATGACCGCACTTAAAACATTCTATAATATAATAATATATCATCGACAATAATCCACAACAATCAACTGAATATACAATGGTAATTAAACTGTTAATTTTTGATCATGGTGCATGCTCTGAACTGTGGTTGATCTAATTTAAATATATTTCAGTTCTCCTTGAGTTTATTCAATGATATACTCCGGCCATTCAACACGACATACAGATGCTGGTCAGTGTCAATGCTTCCTGGAACCGAACGAGAAGATGTTGAACGTGGTGGAAAAAGTAAGTCACTATTCTATTTTTGTATATTATATTAAAATTTTTCTTAACACAATAATTTCAGTTATAATGCCCCCATCTGCTCTGGATATATTGACCCGGCTAAATATCAACTACCCGATGCTGTTCAAGCTAACTAATAAAAAAACCAACAGACAAACACATTGTGGTGTATTAGAGTTCATTGCAGACGAAGACAAAATATATATTCCTTATTGGGTAATAATTAAATATCTTTATATATTCTCAGTCTTGTAAAATACTTGAGTAAAAGTATTTGTGTTAAAAACTGAACTGTTAGTATAGAACGAGCAAGAACAGACAAATTTGTACCACTATTGGACAGCCCCATTGATTCCGTTTTCATTATTCTATTTTAAACAAAAAAATACATAGATTCATTATTACTAAGAATATTTTCGATATTATTCCAATGAATCTATAAAATTGGTATAAAACATGAAGGCAGGCTTAGTTAATTTACAAGGTGAAAAAATATTTAAAAACAATTTGAAACTACGTGCAAATACTTTTTTTTTATTGATTATTGAAATATGTAATTTAATTACTTTACAAAATAAGTATTTACATCTGTATTTAAATACTTTAAAAAAGTATATTTTACAAGACTATATGCAGGCGCGGACTGGCTGGGATGCTGGGATGCTACAGCATCCCTTGCCCTAAAATATATTTGCCCCTATCAGTATAAATGTGCCCACCTAAAAATTAATCTGAATTTTGAAGGAGAAGGTTAAAATTCTCTGATAAAATCGTAGGTAGATGTAGATCTATTATTTATGTAATAACTAATAAGTAATAACTATAACAATCATAAAGAAAAAAGAATACATTTAAAGTAGGTAGCCAATAAGAAAATAGGTAAATTAGTTTGAGCAGCTTTTTATATACATTAAATATACTTTCTTAATTTATTATTAACACAATCTTTATAAGAGGAACTTAGCTCTAATTGTTATGGGAGGGGGGGGGGCAAAAATTAATCACAATTTACTGACCCTTAAGTTTGCAGTTTCTTAACCTTGCCTTCCTGTTGTAATTTGGCACCTATTTACATTTTTAACGTATTTACAATATTTTATTAAAACAAAAGAAAATGTTTAAATATTTTATAAATAACCTATTACTTAAAATTTGTTTTATTTGCCCTTTAAATTATGTAGCATCCCGCGCCCTTTTTTACCAGTCCGCGTCTGACTATATATATATACATCTTGCTTAATATTATACTTAAATCTAGTTGAGATTCCACACTGCTCATATTAAATCTACACACAATGATGATACTCAAAACAAATAAAAAATTGTACGGGACTAGTGATAAATTAAGGTCCCAGTAGTACAGTAATTATTGTAAATTTTTGTGAATTTTTAGTCCCTGCGCATGCGCATCATGACAAAAATTTGTCTGTGACTGATAAGTTTGTTATCATAAATACCGTTTTTCCGGAACTATCTACTAATATATAAGTTTTAAATTTAAGAGGATTGTCAGTATTCTGTTTGTTTTCTCTCTCTATAAGCAACATACATTCACCCAAAATAATATTTTTATTTTTGAGTTACCTTAGATTAAAATCACCCGTTAAAAAAATAATAAAGAATAATACTATTTAATGCATGACATATCGATTTGTCTAAATATTGTCTCAAAATAATTTAATATCCATTTAAATTTACAAAAAAATTTTATTTTTAAGTCAAATAATATTAAATGTATTAGCGATTCATCAAACCCTCAAAAATATTATTCTCATTTGTGTAATAGCTAATTTTTCCAATTTTTCAAAAATCATAAAAAATGATTTTCGGTAAATGCATTTTATTTATGTTGGACTAGAATCTGAAAGAAAACAAATATACCGCTAACATCCTCTTAAAAAAAAGGTAATAAAGTAATCATTAATCAGNGTATATTGTCAATTTTTTTTATTTAGATGATGAAAAACATATTGCTTGATGAAGGAGATATGGTGCAAGTTGAAAGTGTTTCATTAGAAGTAGCCACCTTTTCAAAGTTTCAACCTCAAAATTCTGAATTCTTAGATATCACAAACCCAAAGGCTGTTTTGGAAAATTGCTTACGCAATTTTGCTTGTCTGACTACTGGTGATGTAATAGCAATAAAGTACAATCAAAAAATTTATGAAATGTGTGTGTTAGAAACCAAACCGGGTAACGCTGTTAGTATCATTGAATGTGATATGAATGTTGAATTTGCCGCACCAGTTGGTTATCAGGAACCTACGCATATGAAAAAACCAGCAGAAGAAGAGATGATGGTTGATCCTGCTGATTTAATGCCAGAACCAACAGGGTTCATAGCGTTCAAAGGTTCGGGAAATCGACTAGATGGAAAAAAAAAGAAAGACAATTCTGATGATCAATCGAATCAAGTTAGAGCAGTGTACCAAAGAGGAATTCCAGATTATGATTATAATATAGGAACTATACAGTTTATAAGGAACATCCGGTCTGTGAATAAAGACAAAGAGGTAATAATTAATAAATTTAAATATACAAATAACTATAATTCTATTAAATTAAATCCTATGATTTGTTTCACACTGATACTGTCTTCACTGTGCATATATAAGATAAATACATAAGTGATGTGATGTTACAACTGATCCAAAAGTGGGTATGGTGTCTGAGCATACTGATCAAAAATCAGTCACTTTAATAACCACTCATTTGTGGAATTAAAGCCATTGTCACAAGATGATAGTAAAATGCCATAGTTACATTTGCAACCGCTTATTGTCATCGTACAAACTTCTCAATTGGTATTATCTCACTATCTACTTTTTCACTCTTGCACTATCATGCATACTTGATAGTTCTTTCACGACAGCAACTATCACAGTTTTTATCATATTGTGAATGCGGCTTTAGTGTATTAATAAAAATATTTTTTGAGTTATATTAATGGCTATTTCTTATCATTAAAAGAAATAAACATACCATTTTATTTTATTGTAGTAAAATTGAATACTACAAGTTTAAATAAATGACTTAATATTTTTAATTTCAGGATGAAAATCAAGAAGGATTTAAGCCTTTTGCGGGTTCCGGATCAGTACTAAAAACAAAAAAAAAAAAAAAATAGTACCATAATCGTATTTCAAAGCATGTACAAATTTTAATTTTTAATATAAGAGTAATTCAATTTTAAATGGTTTTAACGAGGTGATAATTTTTTAATAATTAAAAATAATTATTTAATACATTTATTGTAAATATAATTGTCAAAGTAAAAGTAGGAAAATTTAGAAACCATAATATTGTACAATAATATTATTTTCTATATTTCATACGGCTTATTGTTTTTTTTTCACATAAGTTATCAGTGATTAATGCATTATATAGGTTATGACAGAGCAAATTAACTAGTTTGAGACAAATATTACGTTAAACATTACATTTAGTATCAAATCAATAAATAATAAACCACTTATTTCTATAATTAATATTTAATGTTATATTTTATATAATCTATAAAACATGAGAATAAAAAAATACGACTCAAGCAAATTGCATTTAACTAAACAAATATTAAAACATAAAACATTTTAAAATAGCATAATGTTATTCATATAGAACTATAGCCGTAACCTGATTTGAAGATGATACAATTTATGGATTCTAAATTACATGTAATGGAATAATAATAATATATCTAAAATGCTAAAGATTATAATATTAATATAGAAGATTTTCCATCATTTTGCTGATTGAGTTCAAAAATAATATCTTATGATAGTTAATCCTCATTATATGTTACAATCTATGTTATAAATAATTTGTATCATTAATATTATATAATATAAAAAATATGTAATTTAATCGAATATATTATGTTAAAATGCTTTTATTTATATATATATATATATTATATATATTATTTCATCATGTGACATTTATATTTGAGAACATTTAGAAAACTCAGTTATTGTCCATCCATATAGAATATTTTTTTTTTATTTACTAGCTTAGTGGTAATTTTTTTATAACATGTTCATTGTTCATGTCTAATTATTGAAATTATAAAATAAAATAGTAATTACATTTTAAGCATCAGGACTGTGCCATTAGTTATTAATTAATTATTAGAAATGGAAGTGTGGAACATTTGAAATGAAAATGGGAACCAAAAAACTTCTGATGGAGAATGGTTTGATACTCTTTTATAACCACAAATCTTGAAATGAGAGCTGGAGTAGGTCACTTTAAATTAATAGTCACTTATGGCACTTATTAGTGGACAGCTAGGATTGGAAATATTTTAATCCTTAGCTACTGAATACTTATAATTGGCCTACTTATGATATAACAGATTAACTAGGTACCTACTTGAATAGTTAGTAGTAGTAATAATTAATAGGTATAACTATATTGAGTGTTATGTTACAAAAATTATCCGATATATTAATCTCACTGTAAAAGTATCGTCCAGAGGTATAAAAAATGTTAAATTCCCTTTCTTCTCAGCTATGCTTGATGTCTTTTTACTAAAATATAAATTGAATTGGTTGACTCACAAGGATATACTCTATCAAATACTCTATGATATTTTCCCTGTAATTATAATAATAAATAAACATACTTATTTTATTAGAATTCCCATAAATAAATTATACTTATCATTAATCATTAGTAATTATAGAAAATATAATAAATGTTAAATAAATCAAACAGGATTTTAATTTACCAATGGTAAGTTGGGCATGCAACTTTTCTTTGATTTTGTCAAATAGAATAATTCAATTAGTACTAACACTTTTATTAAAATCATTTTTTGATGGAGTTAATTTATTTCTTATTAGTGTGTTTTATGTAAGTTGTCATCAGTTGTTAGATATGTCAGAATGTCAGATCATCCTGTTATATATCCATACTTGTCGCGATCTGTTACTAATTATAAAATACATTCATACATTTAGTAGTGCTGATATGCTTGAGCTCAGAGCTGTAACCTCTAAGAATTTCAGAAACATAATTACGTTATTCTATTTAATCTGAAAAAGAGAACTAAGTGAGACCAGAAATTATAGGCTCATTATAACTAATTAATGCGTTACAATAGTTTCAAACAGAATCTTGTTGTACTTTTTTTTAAATACAATTCTTGTATAGATAATTTCTTGGTTAATACAAAAATATGATGGCCTTAAATAAACTAACCTTAAAAGTTTATACTACAAACAATATTATTTTAAATACTTTTTTCTTCTCTGTGCGTACATAAATTAAAATTTTTATACCATGAATGAATATTTCAATTAGTAATATATTTTTGTGACTAATGATTTCAAACTTTGAAGCTTCTGCAGACACATAAAATTAACCCTATCTTTGTCATCAATATTTTAATTCTGTGGTCTGAAACGCTATTTCCATTATTTTTAATGAAAAATAATCTATTTTTTTTTTTTTGAGGGAAGTTAATGTGTTTTCAAATTTTTTTTGTTATTATTTTATTGTAGGCATGTTAATGATAAATAAATAAATATTTATTATTATATTTTTTTAACCATCTGAAGTTATACAAAAATATTTAAATGTCATAGATCTCTTTTGTTTTAGTTAGTAAATGAAAATTATTCAATTGTACCTAAAATCTTCTTATGAGTACATAAAAATAATCCCTGATTTTATGTAGGTACACAGCCACAAAAAAAAAAAACAGACACACATGATAAAATCAACACAGATGATCTCTCCACTCAAAATCAAAAAATAACATTTTCCATATCTAGAAATGTCTTTATTTTATGTTCACGTAAGAATATTTAGGTAAAATCGAGGAGATAATTGTCATTTTTACTCTAAAAACAAAAGAAATCAAAAGCATTTAAATATGTCTGAATAACTTTTGATGGTTAAGAAAAACTAATTATAATATATTTATTGTTATATTCGTAATATTATTAATGTGACTACAACAAAATAATAATAAAAAAATTCCTGATTAAATAATAAATACATAGTTAATAAATTACCAACAAAATGTATGTTTTGTTTCAAATATTGTGATAAATCTTACAGAAATAGTTTTTGTACCAAACAATTCTATGTGAACGCCAACAAAAAAATAACATTTTAAAGTCCTGGAAAATATTTTTATTTTATGTACACATAACTGATAGAACGACGTAATAAAATTAAACATTTTGAGTACCTAATATGAATTCTTTAAGTTTATGCTCAATGATCATGGAATGCTTAAAATAGTATAGCGATAGCAGTAAGTAGGTAGTTACTGCCAACGAGCAAGATTATAATTTAAATTGTACAATACAATAAATTAGGTATAGCAAATAGCAATATGTGGATTATTATTGTTATTCAACTAGTTACCTATATTTGACATACCTAATATACGTTTAAAAATTACTTAAATCAATGGAATCTCGTCAAAAGTACCTGGTGAATGAACGTGTTGTGCCGTAACTTGTAGGTATAATATGTTGATTGTTGACAAAACATACGAAACCCGTCATATGCATACTATTATACATATCATACAATAATTAGGTAGTATATTGAACTGGATTTACATATTAGATTAAATATGCTAATTATTATGCATATTACTGTATTAGTATAGATCGTCTCCTGTTAATCGAATTAACTTTGGCCGAAGGCTAATTTTGAATACCAACTCACTGCGTTCAACTGTTCTATTGCAAGTGTACAGTTTTATACTCGTATGAATTTAACGAGTATTCAACATAAATTGTACACAAGGTACCTATGCTATATAGCCGCGTACAAGTACATAGGCTGCCTACTTGTGTGATGTCATCGAAGTGCATCTTACATTTTAGTGTCGATGGGTGGCGAATCCTACATAATATATATTATATGTCATATTCGTACCCATTTTTAAATATGCATGAGAAAAGTATTGGACATCTTATATTGTATAGCTTATTTCAACCACACATTGTTTGCCACTATATCGAATAGTAATTGTATTCAGAAGTTAGGGTGCTTAGATGTTATAAAGCCTGTCTGTAAAGTTTCATATAACAATTTTATTAAAAGTGACAGACTAATAGAAGCCATTTTTGAAGAATACCTTGTGTCTTTATATTTTCAAAATCTTCAAATTATGGATTTTTGATCTAACTGACCAAGACGTACCAATCATNCTTCGTTGAATCAAATCTCAACATTTATTCAATGATCAACATTACAAATTAAATATTTATTAAAGGTCCATTATAAGTTTGTATGTTATGTGGGGACTAATATAGAAGCCATTTTTGAAGAATACCTTGTGTCTTTATATTTTCAAAATCTTCAAATTATGGATTTTTGATCTAACTGACCAAGACGTACCAATCATAGAACACTCTCGTCTGTCGCATAAATGTCGTGTAATAAAGTTTTCTTGCCAGTTATTGGATTTCAACACCATTTTAAATATTTTATAATAAGTAAGTTCTGTAAATGTACATTCAATTATTATTTTTTTTTTTGATACATGTATCGAAAAAGTTGTGCTGTAGCCCTGTAGGGTTTTCAGCAAAACTATACCTACCTAGGGTAACTACTAACTTCTGACTAGTTTAAGTATAACTTCTTTATAAAGAACTGGTCATATTTATTGAATTTTTTTTTTGTTCTCATCACTACATTTTTAAAATAATTGACAATAAATCGTGTCTTTTAATAATTATGTTTTTTAAATTATATTTAATTTTCCTACATGATAATGATAAGCGTTTATAAAGAATAAATAAAAAAATATAAAATTAAATATTACTATTTGTGAGTTACAACTGCATGAAAGTTATGGTAAGTAAAACTGCTCGCAGCCGAGTTTGGTATTCAAAAAGGTGCTGCCGATAAAACAACCGTTCGGAATCGTGTTCTACCTCAATAAAATAATTTTAAAAAATATGAGGGAGCACACCTGCGCGTCCCACCACCAATTCGAGCACTGCGACGTAATATGTATGCTATGTGTAATATTATTGTACCTATATCGTAAAAAAAATCGAACACGTGCATTTTTTTATTTTTTTTTTTTATTAACAAGTATAATATGTATTTGACATTTGTAGTTTTGTTACAACCATATTGCCATACTGGCATAATAAACATCAATATTATTATATTTTATAGTACCTTATTCTGTAATACATAAAACATGAATAGTTTAAAACTAAAATGGACGTCGGCCAAATGTTACACATTACAATTATAGGTAACAGACAAAATTAACATAAAAACAGGGATTCCAGTCTGTGCTAGAAAGTTGACTTCTATGCACTATATTACATTATAATATGTTTTAGCTTTAAAAAGATGTTATATTTATTCGAACTATAGCATTTATATTACTGTTAGTTAACACTCTTAAGGCACTCTGAAACATTAAAAAAAATTTTTATCTCAAATTCGGTCGTATGGACTTGGCTTGCTAAAAACTTGTAATATTTATGTAATGTTGGCATAAGCGTACAACAAAAATCGAAAAATATCATTGTCGTTAATATACATTTTTTTTTGTAAACAAACATACAAAATATTTTGATGGAAAATCACATAGTGAAAAAAAATAGTGTAATTTCATACATTTTTGAAATGCATATTTTTATGGTATATAATAGTCAAGTATAATAAAACACCTATATCTGTATTACGTACCTCACTAAAAATAAAACAAATTGATTAATAAATGTCACGAAGAGATATTTAATAAGATCATAAAAAATAAATAAATAAATTTCAGAAATCGATGCGATATTTTTAAAAGTCGGGTATGAAGCGTTCATAATAATATATAGGTATATATGAGTATATTATCATTTCTCAATCTCAACATATTTTCAATTTGACTAATTTTAAAATATGATGTACATCGATATGGATGCATGGTGAAATCAGTCACAGGCTGCAGCTAAAGCTAAAATGTTAATAATATTTAATAATAATAATAATGATGAATGATGATAAAATAAGTATGTATAACGAAGGACTTAAGAAAGCAGAAAAAATCTATAATTATGAAGGAGGTCATGCCTTTATGTATTATATATTTTATTGTTAAAATATATTATAATAAAATATTATATATTAATACATGATATATATACGATAATATACTATATTCTAGCGAATATGTCAAATACGTAAATTTGATTTACACAGACCGTTTTACAATATTTCTCTAAAAACAAATATGCTATATAATTGCAGCAAGTACAGCAATAAAACAATAAATAATTTTTAGTTTCTGTTCATATAAAATATATATTATATAATTGAAAATATTATGCTCATTGCTCATCGATTAGAACTACGCGCCTACACCAAGTATGATGACGTTTTAAAAATTTGGTTACTCTTTTTTGAAACATTGCAGATTGATACAAGAAAGAAAAAGCGCATATCGGCATTCAGGCCAAGCAGAGTTTTGGATGTACCGTTAGGATAAGTAAACTATTAAATGTAATAATTTATAAAACGATATCGTTATCGTATTCAAACAAAAAAAACATAGAAAGAATGAAAAAAAAACAATACTGAGCGGAGTCGTTTTGGCGGTTTTTTTATGTTCGAAAAATTAAATAGCAAAATCTTTTTTTTTAATCATAATATAGATACTTTTATACATATTTATTTGGTATTAAATAATATAAATACAGCTGATAAACCCGAATAATTGTCATACATTGGAGTATGATCTAGATAACGGACATACACGCGGCGCACACTGTTGACATGACACATTTTCCAAAACGGCAAAACTCTCATCACAATTAAACTGCCCCGCCCCCAACCCCACAAAAATAATGAAGCACTTTTATGCAAAACAAATACAAAAATAAAAACACAACATATATCACAATAATAAGTACAATAACCATACATAGTAATAATAATAATAATAATAATAATAATAATAATATACAGTAATAATAAGCATTTTCCCGCTCAGAATCTAAAACGACTACCTACGAAAACAATAAAAATATTATATATAATAATAATTATAAGTTGCTGTTGCTCGTGCACTAAGCATAAATAATAAACGATCAATACAAAAACATATTATACCTAACACATGCTAATATTATAATATGGTCAAATGGCATTTGGATTTATACACATGTTTAAGTAACAATAATAATTATGGTATTATTATCACATCAACAGATTCCATGTGGCCATCGATCATTTTTTATTTCATTAATTTTATCGACTATACAATAATAATAATAATAATAATATTTTACAGTAACCCGGCGGAATTTCGCTCTACGCATTATAATAATACATACGACATGTTCACTGATCCAAGCCCGGACTAAGAATTTTGAGGTACCTGGGCCAATTTGTTTAGAGGCCCCAATTTGAAATAATAAAAACATCGTCCATAATATTGTATTTTCGTGTCCACAAGACATAAAAACATGTATAACTCATATTAATATTCAATTCCAAAAATTATTTCTAGCTGCTGTTGGGCCTTTTTTTTTTTTATGTCATACCGTCTAAGTTTAGAAGTATTGAGTGTTTTATTTTCAAAACCCATGTTTTGTCTTAAAACAAATATTTTTATTCACATCAAACATTGAAGGTGTTGAGTATTTCCTTTTACGCATATTATATATAATATTTAATACGCGCATAGGTACGTAATGATTACAGTATTATGAAAGTATGGCGAACAATATTAGAGGCCTCTAAAAAAATGTCAAGTCTCGTGCCCCTCCCCCCCCCCCCACACTCTGCCACGGGGTCCCTTAATCCGGGCGTGCGACGATCCGAAAAACATTGGAATATAATAGGTAGTTTTTTTATAGTAATATTTATTATTTTATGGCTGTCGGCCTCAAGACATCGATCCCGATACCGATATGTAGGCGCCGTCGGCCGGCTTCGTCTCGCTGTTGGATCTCGTCGGCGGCGGCGCTTCTTTGCGGCCGTTGGCTGCCGCCGGCGCGTTGGCCATGGAATTGTTGTTGCTGCCGTTGAAGTTGTTGTTGTTGGCCAGACTCGAACTCCGCCGCCTTTGCCGGCTGTTTGGGATGCAGTAACCGCCTTTGCCGTCCTGATGGCTGATCAGTCTCTTATTCTTGTCGTCTCTGTCCAATTCGACCTGAAACATCGTTACGTATACCGAACACAATCGATCGAAGGAGGCGCGCGATATCGGCCGCAGCCAATTCCGTTTCGATTTATTTTTCACGAGGCAATACCTATACCGGTGTACCCAAACTCTGAGTTTTTGGTTGGTTGGGGGGGGGGGAGGAGCAGTAAAGTGATCGATTTCAATATTATAGCAGTGAAACTGTTGGGTCAGAAATATTATAATTTATTTATTACGACTTTATTTCGACATACCATTTTTTCATCGATTACCAAACCATTTGGAATTCCACCGCTAAAGGTAGAAATATTAATCGTTTCGATAGTTTTCACTTAAGCCAAATAGGGCTCGGTACTCACCCCCTATAAATCTCCCCCCCCCCGCGCCACACTATAAGTTGGAGAATATTATAATGACGCTCTTCTCTTGGCTATACAATATAGACGATTTTCAAGGGAGATAAAAAGATTAATTTAAAAAATATTCACTAGAAAAGGGACGTCAAGTATGCTCGCTATTGCTGCATCAGTTACAGGTACAAATGCACAATATCATATTTTATATCTCTACAAGGGAGGATAATAATGAGAAGACATCTGAAAAAGGATGTAGTGACGAAAAAGTCGAGTGTGAGACATTTATTTGAGGGTGGGTTGCTCGTTTATTCAGTCGTGCTATATAGGGTTGCTGACTGGTGGCGCTGCAGAAAGGTTGAAAGGTTGCCCAAAATTTTAATGGTAAGCAAAAATATTTTTATTTTGTTGTTAAATCTTGCATTTAAAAAATATAAAAATAACAAATTCTCATCATTCATAAATAATAAAGTTTCATATTATTTTGAAACTTTGGAACTCATTTTCAGACATACTTTAGAGATACCAACTTTGAAAAATGTGGTTCAATCATAACATATAGATACACTTGATATTCACGTCAAAATACAGTTCAGCGGGTTTTCCACTTTTCTACAGTGAATGTATATAATATAAATAATATATATGTATGATAAATAATGGAATAATACACATTGATGAATTAAGCTCAAATGAAACTTGTATTTCATTAAATCTAATACAATACAAACTGATATTCAAAATTGATACTGAATTTTTTGAAACTTTATTCATACAATATATTATTTGTTACTCGTGATCCGAAAAATGATCAAGATGTCAAATTTAAAGGTGCCTACCTACAATATTTAAGTCGGTTTTGGGTGATTAAAACGTCAACTTGAGACTTTTGACTTGTGGTACAATCTACTATTTATATAAATTAAGTTTTCTGTTTGAATAATTGATTTTGAATTAAAAGTTTTTTAATGTTACAAAGTGTAATAAGTCTGTTAATACTTATTATGCTTCTTGTTTATTACCTATAGGTATTATCATATTGTATTGTAATTGATATTATTAATGTAAAATATTAAAATATAATATAGATTATAGATATCATCAGTTCATCACTTTTCGTTCGAAAAGATCAACCTTTAAAAAATTATAAAGAATAGTATTAGAGGGACATTTTTACTTAAGTACCAACTTAACTAACTTTCAGAAATTGAAGTGAAAAATTGAAGCATTTTATCTACTTTAAAAAGTGACTTCAAACACACATATCATTAATATATTAAAAATTAAATTAATTAGTGCAATTAATACATTCATAATTGTTCACAGAATCTAAAAATGTGTTCTGCATACTGCATAGTGCAAATATTTAATACCTACAAGTTATTATTATTATTAAGGATGATTTGATTAGGTATCATTTACATGATTTTCTATGATTTCATATTTTTATTCAACAACTATCAACTCTTTTGATTTGCTAATTGAAACCTATAGTTGCCACTGAAAGATTAATTAGTAAAAAAAAGAATATATATTTTTTTTAATGCATTTTGACGTTAATATTTTTATTTTTTATTTACCCTTAAACAAAATTTAATCAAAGATTTCGTAAAATTAATAAATAAATAATCATAATATTATTAAACTGCGTTATAATAGGTACCTTACTACTATTTTAATAATACTGATATTGATAAAATTGTTGTACTTTTCGATACAATGGTTATCACTTTATCAGTATAGCGAAATCGAATTTAATATTCAAAAGTTATAATTAATAGAAAAAAAATATCTTAGTCGTTTACTTTCTGGCGTGACGTTGTCTTTCATGTCTTCGTGGCTGGAATTTTAGCGGGATATAAAACCTCCTAAAAACAAAACACCGTCGATAAACGATTTACCTAATAACTTTTTCACCCAACCTATCCTAATCGTATAACGCCGCCGCCGCCGTATAATCCAAACAAATTTTTTATCGGTGCGACATAATAACCACAAAATAGAATCCCTGGGTGTATAATATTATTTTTATATTACATTATAGTATGGTTGGACTTTATGTCGAGCGATCGATATGTACAGGCGCTCTTAAAATATCAGTTATAAGCGTTATCTCCCAAGAAATCGCGAACGCCCCGAATTATATTTCAACTCTATGTATGCTCAGCTACTGGGTAGTATAACAGGTATAATATATTATTATAGGACGCGCCGCGTGTGATTAACGGCCGTCGTACACGAACTACGGCAGCAGCAATAGGTTACCGGCTGGTTTTAATTTCGACTTACGTTTCTTATATTTACGTATGGCGATAATCTCTCGGACGTGTCTGATCCGCAACTCGAGCTTTCCGATAAGTCCGTGTTAAACTTTCTAGTGGCCCGAGGCGAAGACGGCGCTTTCCTCGCGCACATTTGCGTCTGAATGTGTTCGCAGACCCTCCGGAAACGTCTTATATTACCTGTGTCGCACAGCGAAATAACAACGTCTCAAAATGTATATTTACGTATTATGACCGAATTAAATTGTACAATATATCATAGGCAGGTCGCAGGTAACAATAATAGTGCCGCGGACCGCGACCGATACCTACCGGAGTGCAACGTGAATATAATGGCGAACAAATAATCCCTGGGAGAATGCGTGTTCGTGACGTCCGATAAATCAATTTGGAATCGCACTTGCCTCTGAAACATCGCCGTGCCGCCGGATCCACGTCTGTATTCAACCCGGAACGACAGCGCATTAATTACGGTGTGGCTCAACTCGGAAATCTGTAAAAGTAAAAAACATAAAAAACACATGATTTCGAACCGTCGACGTCAATCGCTTGGCCAGCGGTTTATGAAGCTCGCGCGAATTGGTTAGGTACACTTTATATAATATACATGTATAGGTGGTTTAGCATTCATTCAAATATCGAGCAACAATAGACCCAACACCCAAGTAAGTACACACAGACCATTGACCAATGAACGATGATGACATAATAGCGTGGAACAATAAGCACTATGTACGGTACCTACCTAGCCAGGTTTCTACAATTCTTAAATTTCTACTTTCTAATGTCAGAATAAGTAACAAGTAATAGAAATATATTTTTAAATTTAAAATAATGATCAAAATAGGGCATTGGTACTCATTGGTGACATTTAATAGCGAACAAATCCATCAGAATTTTCACCAACAATTTTTGAATTAAATGAAGATAATTATAATAATTGATTTTAATTTTTATAAATCTATAAACGCCTTTCTTCTGTAGAGGCAAACAAACAAACATTTTTTCCATTGTCCCTATACCTATGAATATTAATTAAACAATGGCAAACCATTTAATAGATTTCGAGTGGGCATTGGCCCCAAAGCTCCTACGCACTGGCTACGGCATTGCGTTATACTATATAGTCACAGTTGCGTGATAGAGTTTTCGATATATAAATTCCAACTAGTGTATGGTGTTTGGAAATTCATGTTTTTCAAATGAGAAATACTCATTTTTATACTTTAAATATGTAGTCAACAATTTTCCCGAAAATGTTGACTTATCAAAATCGAAATTCAAACTACTAGTTTTTGCGTTACTCGACTTTGTGAACTATGGATGAAGATATATGATGTTTAAAAGTTGTAATGGCTATGGCAATTTGAAAAATGTAATAATTTAAATTAGATTAATCAAAATTTTTAATTTTTAAAAATGATTCAAGTTTAAGTTAGGGTACATAATAAATTAATAAATACTAAAGGTAATATTGTATCTAATTTATATTTTTTTATACGATTTTTAAGAATAAATCTTTATTATAATGTACATTTACTGAGAAACTAATCGTTCAAAATTTGAATTATATACACATAAATACATATTAATAATTTACCGTAGAAATAGGGGTTCTCATCTGAAAAATAGAATTTTGTATCGCCAAAGGACACTCTTTTATTAGTAAGATAAATCTCAATAATTTTAAAACATGGTACCAGGTACCTATTTAAGTACATTTAAAGAACTCAGAAAATCGGAATTTGAATAAATTCATCATTAAAGAAAAAAATAAGGGTGACCAAGCTTGGTGAATAATCCTGTGTATTACATTTCAGTGGTATTTTAATATTTATTTTATTTTTTTATGTTTTAAAATCAACTCAAAATAATTTTAATTTTTTTTTTGCGCATTATTGCGAGTATAAAAATAATTATTATTGTTATACTCGCAATAATGCGCATATTGTTTACACAGTTATAATTTTTTTCTTAGCTAATATTTAAATGAGAAAAAAATAATAACGAATGACATCAATATATACTTTACGATAAAATGTGGAGATCATAATGTGGTTTGATAAATGCAATAGCACTTGAAGATAATTGGATCTTTGAGATAGAAAACCTTAACTTAACAAATTATGACTTTGTATGCTCACTACCTATTTATCATACACGAAATCTAAAGAAGAGGCCATCGAGTGAAACTTAAAATTATAAAACCTAAGCAAAATATTATGTTCAGTGGAAGTAAAAATCGAATTTTTTGTATAAAAATTTTGATGGAAAAATGTAGGTTCAGCTTATGTGTGATTACGTATACTCGAGAACAGCGTCAAGGAAAATATTAATTATTTAAATGCGTGCAATAAACGAAACATTAAATGTATTAATACTGTTTGAAAGGTGATAATATAATAACGTTGTTTCGATCTAAAAGCGTACCTAACAATTAAATTATCAAATTAAATTTTATACAGTCGTTAATTATTAGTTTATTGTTATAGGTACACAATGTAGTTACCTATGTATCATATGCACTTAAATATTTGAATATATAAACTACACAAATTTAAAATTAATGTTTTAATTATTAAATACATTTACAATATAGACTGGAGTATTCAATCACATATTTATATAAAAATAAAAACAGTCAAGTACCTACATATTATGTAAATATATCTACACATATTGTCTAATAGGTAACTCAAGCTTTAACTATGAACAGTTATAACCAACCAAACAAGTGTCAGATATTGGTATCAAAAAGATTTACAATGTAAATTAAAAGTGTAAGTCTATGTAGTCTGATAATCTGAATGTTGATAATATGCACTATATATGCAATGTTTTGACGAATAGAAAAATAAAAGGAATCAGACATTATAATCCTATAATTATGTGCCTATATCAATTTCATAATAATTGTTTAGATTTTATAAATTAATACTATACTATAACATAGTCAATTACCATGTAACTATTATGATTCGGGTGATACACACAGGTTCTCCAGCCGTACAAAAACGAATCAAATCGTGTTATACCTATTGTTATTGTAATATATGTTGTCGAATGTTTTCTAGACACGATCGATCGATGTCGCAATAGGCGGGAAAGAATAAGGCTCGTATATGGGTGTTTATTACAGATGTAAGATGTTCTTAGGATTTATCGCTTGAAAGGCTTATGTAGTCCTCAATATTCCCCTCCCATAATCAACATAATGTTAACACAGTTCTTCTCGAAATTCCTACAGATATAAAAAAGACATCGACTGCGCAACAGCGTCTTGTAAAAGAAGGGTGTCAGCATTTATTGATTTCACAAAGGTTAAGCTGCACTCTAATTGCTAATTGCCAAATTAACACTAAGACTATCTAGTGTATTCATAAGATAATGATAAAAAAAAGCGAGAATAAGCTACAATGACGTTTGGGGCGATTGAGAGGGTGGCAACGATGCATCTGACGTTGTTCCCTTTACCCCCAAGCCTCCCTTAGTACACGATCGAAGGTGCATCATGTCGATAACAACAATAACTGCAATATAAATATAGTAAAATAAATTATATTATGGAAATGCAGAGCGCTACATGCAGCACTATTCATTTTTTTTTTTATTTGAACTAAAAACTTAAGTTTCATATTATCCGATTGTATTTGGTCGTTAAATTTGCAGGCAGTGCTCACAAAAGCGTAATTTTCATTATTTTTGTGAAAGCACGAAGCGACAGTGACTTAATTTCAGTATTTTGTTAAGATCACGTTTTTTTAAGTTTACAACGGCTTCTATTTATTTTATTTATTTTAGAATGAGATAAAAATACTTTATTATAGTCATACAGTTCATTGTAAATGCTTGTAAATAGGTGGGTGGTAACAAAAATGGAAAATTGTAGTATCGCTTTTGCTAAACGCTATATTATTATACCGACGATAAAAAAAAATCCGTACCCTACCTACGTAGCTCCGAAAAAGCATTGCGTTACTGCAGTATGGCGTCTCTATATACTTTATACCATCGGCGAACGAAGTCGTTTTGCCAAACAGTTTGAAAAAAACAGAAGTTGATAAAAGGAGGGTCTCATTCGAAAAAACATGAATACATCGACAAAGGGACACGCTCTTGTAACTCCATGAAAAATTTCCATATTCGTATCTTGAGTATACTTAAAAATTCCAAAAATCAGACGCATGATTAATTTAAGGATGGAAAAGGGGTTGCTGGGTGAATCACACTGTATGTGTGTATGCGCCTGTGTGTGTATATTATTATGTGACACAAACGGGCAATTAAATCCAATATGGAGAACTGCAGTGTTCGTGTGCACACGCGTGCGGTTGCCAGGGAAACGTCGAGATCGCAGCGGATATCGCGACGGGTAGAGGATACACCGCCGTCGCGGTCTGGTCGTCGACTGCGATTTTCACTTGCAGTCGGAGGACGGTCGCCGAGTGCAGATCGGCCTACGAACTACACCCTACAATTTGATTACCGTGTATTATATTGTGCACACGTTTTCACTATACGCCACCACGAATCGATATCGTCAGAGAATCTGTTAGATTTTTCCGCTAGGTACTGGACGCATTTTCACATCGTAGATAATAATATTAAGGCTGTCGAAAAAAAAGAAAAACAAACGTTGGAATGCAATTATATTACAGTCGGCGTATCTAGGCGCAGTGAGCGTTTAACATTTTGGGGAGAGTTCGGTCCGATATACCTATCATATAAATATTACTAAAATACTATACACACTATGGACTAATACCTAAAACGATTTTCCTCGCTTTGTTCGGATCAGGATCGCTTAAATTTATTAAGTAAACGGATGGACCGGATACGACCGCACTTTTCGTGTTTGATGTATATTATGATTTATTGCTGACAAGGTCCAAACTTTTTAAATTTGATTATACATTTGATCAATATAGAAACTTAACACCCCGTAACAAATATACGAGTATGTGTGTAAAACTTGAAATTTCACAAGTCAAGTAAAAGTGAAATAAAAAACACAATACTAGAGTACCTACTTACAATTACTATACTTACAGGGACAACTTATTGTGCACAACTTTGGTAAGAAAAATCACTATAGGTAACTTCTAAAACTATATATGCAGGCACTGAGTGCTTATGACTCTCAATTATTAAAATACATAGGATATAATGAAATGAGATTTAAATAATAATATTGTTTTAAGAGAGGTTAGAGGCTTAAACACCAAAGCTTATTCTTTTCGTACCGTAAGGTGCACTTCAATCGAATCCTACCATAGTAAATAATGCAGTAAATATAGGAAATAATAATAAACGGCTGTTGCACGAAAACGATTTTACAAGAAATACGATAAAAACGTAAAAACCATAGTAATTTATAATATTATAAAATGTGTGAACATTATCGATAAACTATAATATGACGTTAATATTAATAATTGGTGAAAGATTCAAATCTCTATAAATATAGTGTTGATACTATATACAAATTATTAC